TTATGACATAAGGTGGGATCTTCTACTCCCTTGATTCACTGCCGTTGAGCTGAATTACTTTGCATAGTATGATGATTAATTAATAGACAAATAACTTATTGAAATCTGTTTGTCTTTGCATTGTCTTTTTAGTGCGTTGAAGATGCTTTGCTGCAAATCCAAAATCTCAACACCAGTTGAAGACAAACCACCCCATGTAAGAAATCTCTATCAAACCCTGTTTTTATACTACACCAAACTCCATTATTCACTATAGGGTGTCATTTTGAATGATTCGGTGTGTATTTATTGTAAAAGTGTTTTGTAAGGCTCACTGAAGCGTATGTCTGTGTGTGTTAAGCCCGCTGATGTTGAAGAGGTGGAACCCTATGCAAGTTACGTACAGAGAGTCAATTCCATCTACAACTCCTCAGCTGAACTCTTCAACGCCTGAGAGACACTCACTTTTCATGATGAAACAGGATACCAGAAGAGAACTGAGGGCAAAGATATGTCTGTGTCAAAATTACACATGAAAAACAATACTAGTGGAAAATAGTCATCTCAAGAGAGCATCCCCGAAGCAAACAGCGCCTGACTGAGGAGCAAAAGTCACACTGACTCAAAAGATGAAAGGTGATGACAAAGGAACATTTGTCTTAGTATGTAATGAGGAATAACTGGGACATCTTCAGCATCAGCGATATCACTAATATGTAGATTTGTAGAGAATGAACCTGGTTAGATATTAATCATTTGAACAAATCAAATTTGTACATATTTATATCAGAGTGAATCAAAATCAACTGCAAACAATGTTTTTATTGATAAATACTAAGCAGACCTGATGTAGAGAATCTATTTTACATTGCACATAATTAAAAGTATGTAAATAAACTTTATTATTGTACTTTTCAGAATGGTATATGTTCTTACAGACTTATGATTACGGTCCCCTTTCAGTTTTGAACACAAACAACACAAGTGTGACAATTATTTTATGACCATTTAGCTTGTTCAAATCAAATCCACATTTTTTGTGTGATCACCAAGTCACCAAGCTTCATATCATTCTGATGAAGTTATGATTTAAAAAAATTAAAAACACATTTTTTTCTGTCAAAAATGACCAAACAATACCAGAGGGTTAAATGAACTACTCAGCTCAGCTTTCTCACATATTAGTAGTGTTTGATACCAGCGTTGTTTATTGTATCTGTACAAACAGGCCCTTCTCACCAGTCACAAATGGTCAGTGTTAAATAAGGAGTATGTGAATTGTACCTGCTTAAAACAGATCCGCCTCCTCGGGGAGACTGTGTTGTGTGGTTGTTTTTAATAAAAAGAGTAACTGTGTGTGATTTGTGGTCAAGCAGTGGAGATACAGACCAATAGCACACATACATCTCAGAGACGTCTATTTGACGTCTGCATTTACATCTGGAAGACGTATTTTTTACAGTGTTTGCTCATCTGCAATATGTCTATAAGACGGTTTCTATCAGATGTCAAATAGATGTCTATTAGATGTCTTTAAGATGTTTATGATTTAGAATGTATGTAAAATTGACATCTTACAGACGTCTGTTAGATGTTTGTACACAGCAGATGCTTTCCGGATCAAGTGATCTTTAACAGACATCTTGCAGACGTATGTGTGCTATCTGGGGACCCTTTGAATCTTAGTCCTTTGTCCCCCTGAGAAGAAATCTCACATTGTCCCCTTCATTCAGTGTGATTCAGTGTTTAGGGGAACGATGTGGAAACTTAGGGGTAACTGTACACCAATCTGAATTCTTGTCACTGGAAAGGAAAGATCAGGTACGCCCTCAGATATCACACAGATACTCCTGCAGAAACTGAAACTGGTGGGATGTCATCGACTTTTTTTTTTTGTTTGATTTTGCTGTGGGATTCCCCAAGCACTATGACAGTGTGAATTTTCATTCGATCCAAATTTAGACCTTAAAGCTCTGTTCCTTTGTTATGCGATTAGTCTCTACGATCACAATCTACAGTACATAGCATCCAACATGAAAAGCATATTGCTCCCTCTAGTGGTTGTTTTTATGGTAGCATAGTCTCGTTGAAACGCCATATGAATAGTTGCCCTCAGAATGAGAATTCACTTCAAACAGCTGATTAAAAACATTGATGGACTCCAGTTCATCAATTAACATCTTATGAAGTGAAAATCTGCATGTTTGAAAAAAACAAATCCATCATCAAGGCGTTTTAACTTTAAACCGTTGTTTCTAAAATACAAGTCTATCATCCGTAATAACATGAAAAATCCACCCACCCACATATTTGTTTACAACTGTTTTGTACTGATTTTGCTTGTAAACAGTGCTTGATCTGTGCATATTTCTTTTCTGATTCAGGAGAGATGACTTTTTCACTGGAGAAAGTAATATTATGGATAAAGGACTCGTGTTTTAGCCAGAAAAGGTTAAAAACATCTTAATGATTTGTTTGTTTATTACAAACACTCAGCTTTTCACTTCACACAGCGTTAATTGATGGACTGTAGTTGTGTGGATTACTTGTGATGTTTTTATCAGCTGTTTGGATTCTCATTCTGATGGCACCCATTCACTGCAGAGCATTCATTGGTGAGCAAGTGATGTAATGCCACATTTCTCCAAATTTGAAGAAGAAACAAACTCATCTACATCTTGGGTGGCCTGAGGGTGAGTACATTTTCAGCAAATTTTCATTTTTATGTGAAGTATTCCTTTAACAGGGCTGTAAAGCATGCAAAAAATACAAAATAAAACAATAATAATAATAAATAAAAATAATAATAAAAAAGCTGTTTATACATGTCTATTATTATTGCCTAGGAAAAAATGTACACTGAACACATGTTGACCAAATAGTGACCTTGGGCTTGGAAAAGGCGCATAAAACTTATTATTATTATTGATAGTGGGCCAAATTGACAGTGTATTCTGCCAATAAACAATCTTTTTAGGTTTTTCAAAATTGGAACAGTAAAAACAATTATGCACAAATTATTCATGAAACTACAATAAAATGACATTACTATTATAATATTACAAAATACAAAATGCATGCAAATACTTGCCCCAACAAAAATGTGACAACTTTCACGTTTCCTTTATTATATTATATCCTTATATAATTGACTCTTGCCTGAATGCATGTGGTATTATTGTGTTCACTTGTTACCCAACATATGATGATACTGGAATTTTAGTTTGGAGGACATAAAAAATAATAATAATAATAATAATTTAAAGGGGTCATATGACGTTGCTAAAAAAGAACATTATTTTGTGTATTTGGTGTAATGCAATGTGTTTATGTGGTTTAAGGTTAAAAAAACACATTATTTTCCACACCTACCCCAACCCTAAACCTACCCTTACAGTAATGCAAATACAGTAATTATGAGCTATATTCGCGATTGTGGCTAGAAGGGATACAGCTACAGGAAATAATCAATAAATATTTTTTTCTACCTATTAGATTGTTTTATTCAAGTCTACACCTACCCCAACCCTAAACCTACCCTTACAGTAATGCAGATACATTAAATATTGTTGTTCAGCGT